GACTAAAACAGCACAAACAATAATGAGTATAATAATACGAGTGAATGACTGGTCATTTCAATAACTAGAACACTAAATGTGCTGTCGATTAAATGGCGAGATAGCAGTAGTTGAGTAACACCGATGATCTCGGTGTTGATAATCGCATCATCCCAGAAGATATGACGGTTATGCCTTCTGGATCTGATGTTGCTGACAAAGCGGTATCCACTGAGGACGCCTCGGAGATGGTGCATCTTGATGCTGTACTAGCAGCACTCGTTGAGACTAAAATAAAGGCTATTAAAAGTGCCTCGTTGGGTTCATCCAAGGCTAAGTGGCCAAGTGCACCAGCAAGCCCGAGAAGACCGAGATTGATGTCAACGTCAACGGCCTCATCATCCCAGAATCGCAATCACGAGCATTTTGATATTAAACATTTTGATAGAGGGGACATGGAGCAGAGGCGGAAGAGTTATCGACACAGGCGGTATGATTCAGCGCCCTGTCAGCAGTGTATCGATGATATTGATGATCATGGCCATCATAGACACCAGAATGCCATAGGTATATTTTATAATTATCACCCCAAACCCATCCATCCACTTGCAATCAATTTCAAAACAGCCAAATAGATGATGACATATGGATTCAACCGACTGTTCAATTTACTGTGAATATCCCTGAATCTAACGGTGATAGCATGATTTTGGTGATTACCTTTTTTGTAGACCGAATTACGAGCTTGAAAAAAGGTATTCATAAAAATTCATGTATCTCTCTTACTTCTAGAGATATTCATTGAATAATGATGTATTAGCTGCATAAAAAAATATTTTTTTTTCAATTTTTTTTTATCAAAAATTTTTATGAAAAAAAATATTTTTATAATTTTTTTTTACGATATTTTTTTTTTATATTTTGAAAAATAACGAATGAATTGATTTCGATGAACAATAGTCCACAAGGAGTCCAAGTCCCGAAGACGAGCATCAGAAATGATACATCGAAATCCCAAGAAAAAGCACGGCTACTCTCGCCGAATAAGTTCCCACGTACTCCAGGGTATTGATTCACCCATCGAACTACCCGAACTCCTGGACGTTGATCGTCTACACGACGATTTGACACTGATAAATTACGAAAGAAGCCGCGAGGCACTAAGTGAAAATGGAGATTTACCGAGTATACACCAAAGTGCCTACGTCACCCCAATTCCAACGCATCTGTAAGTCACATTAAATAAAAGATCTATAACTATTCATGATGTATTGATAGTTTTAGTTTAGCACATTGTACTCGTAATACCGTTTGAACGTGCGATTGTACTGTTTCTCCAATGAAATAGCTAATGAAAGAGCCAACGGCTCAATGTTGATAAGGACTAAAGCATCGGTAGACTGGAGCAACAAAGTAGAGATGTGACCTAGTTTCGTGATACACCATTTATACATTTCAAACACAGCGACTGATTCTCCATTCTATTTATATTTCGATGACTATTTCCCATATCGATTGCCATTTCCCCATAAAAACCTCAAATTTAATGATTAAATAATTAAAACAACACGTGGAATATCTCCATTGCTATATTCGAGAGTGAGATATATTTTCTAAAATT